CGTAGCACATTTTAGGTGGTTGCCAGAGATGGTCCAACGAGTCTGGCGCGCCAAACTCCTCAAGGCCAGCGGTTAGATCGGGCTGTGAAATGCTGGTCAATTTAGCTTCATCCAAGCAATACATCGGATTCGAAATGGCACACGATTCCATTTCAATATACTTAACATTATTGCCGAGGAGTTTCTCGAATTGTGAAGCTAGATATTTGAAGGATGGTCGCGAGTTAGGATCATCCGTCCAGCATGTGCGCACAATGGAATAACTGTTGCGGAGTGGAAGTGCAATAAATTTTATTTAGTTCAGTTCGTATACTACAATTTAAAGATTCCTCTGTTTACTCACATTTCTTCTGAACAGTTCTCTGGTCTTTCCATGCGATAGCCAGTTTTCAATAAATGATAGAGATTCTGTGGCGGTATACCAGGATACGGTGAGGCACCCAACGTAATCAGCTCCCAACAGAGCACGCCAAAAGCCCACACATCCGATTTGGTGGTGTAAACATGATCAGCCAATGACTCAGGCGCCATCCACTAGCGAAAAAAGCGAATACACATTTCTTCATTAGTAGACTAATTTTATTTACTTCCTTGTTCACTTTTACCTTCACCGGCACTCTATCACGCGACCGCTTTAGATAGGCATCGTCTTCGTAGACATCACGCGTTAGCCCAAAATCAGATATTTTGCAGATTTTTCCGTCGGCGAGTAAGACATTGCGTGCTGCCAAATCGCGATGAACTAACTGAAAAGGAAAGAATTAAAAATAAATATAAATATTAAATGAACCGATGTCGGAAACATTTTTTGAACACAGATTTGAAAATTTTACCGACTTCAAGAATCTTTTAGACTAGCTATTTTCGGAGTGACGCAATCTGTAGAGATCTTATTGGAAAAGATAGAATCCAATTAGCACTCTCTGTTCCAGATTGGACAGCGAAGTTCATTTAAAAAAAATTATGTACTCTTGAAAATATTTCGTTCGAATTCTTCATTTTCTACGTGAAGAAGACGCGACAACGCACTTCTAAACTCACAAGGAAAATTGGAAAGTTTAAACCGTAAGTTCCTTGTTGGACGTGAAGGAAGCTCCCTTTGAAAACTCTCTTGTATCCGGCGCCCCATGGCGTTACCATATGCGGCTCAATAGCAAGCGTCCGCGAATTCCGAACCCCTACATCCCACTGTAGAAGTGAAAAAGTCTTACCCTTTGGTAGAAAGTGTTGCCCACAGGGTGCAGTGATCTTCCACCTTTTATGGTCACAAAATAAATTTATTCAAATGACCAGAGCCTGCAGGTAATGGGGACGAACTGTGGCCTGATTGCCCAAATTGGCAAGAAAATTTTAGCATATCGGTGGCGATGCAGCAAAACGTTCTAAGTTAATTATTATTGCTAATTCTTAAATGATCTGTAACCTTCATCTCATCTCTTCGATTTGGTTAATCGTTCATCTTCATCAGCCAATGACAGTTTTGTCAGAAGTTTATGAGAGTGTAACGATTAGCAGATGCATTCCGGTGCAGGTACCAAGGGCAATAATTTCAGTATCACCGATAATGTGACATGCCCGTCTGGTGGAAGAAGACAGAAGTGAAATCTACGCCGTGCAAACTCCATCGGCTAGCCCGCGTCACCTTAACTGGCGCGATGAGAATAATACCAAACCTGGCTACCGAGGTCCTTCTAGAGCTTCCTCCTTTGCACATTGTAATCAATAAAGTAGCTTTACTGTTTACAGCAGGACTTAATTCACTTGTACCGTCAGGGTTATAGTTTTATAGTAGAATAAGAGTAAGGTCCGTACATTAGCTTCGTGGACTTGTGCCTTCCGAGGTTTCCCTTCACACATAACTTCAAGGTCTTTTAGCCAATGAACGACTTAAGCACTGGAGGGATAGCCAAATTTTTTTATACTCATGGCTACAAGACTGACTGCCCATTGCGTCGGAACAAGAATCTAGGCTAAATAAATTTGAAATTATCGATAGCTTCAAAACAAGTCTCCGTTGTGTATATTATCATCAGCGATAATGCTACAAAGTATGTCGTTAAGTTTCCTACAAGAGAGGAATGGAGACTTCCGTACACTCTCTTGGGGAACTCGGTAAAGCTTTCTATACGTACGGCTCCAAGTATGAGAATAGAGCTGAAGTTGAAGAGTAACTTCAGATGCTTTGCTGCTTTAA